TACATGCTGATAGGTGGTGGAGAAAGGTTCTTGAGGGATCGTGTGTGACGAATGCTAGATGAGGGGCTTAGGCCTAATTGGGCTGGGGGTATTGAAGAATTGTTTGTGTCAGAGTCTTTTCTCCAGAAACAAACAGGTTGAGTGAATGAGTAGGTTCCTGTGAAGGTAAGGGAAACTGCGAAGAAACATTGCCATATATACCATTCAGTTTTATCAACAATTCCTGTACATATTGTTCTTGTATTAGCTGTAAATCCCCAGACATTATAACAAGTGGTTCCCTGGCCCAGGGTGTGGGAAAAGGTTGTCCCATCAGAATCTCAAATGGAGATAATTTAGTCACCTTGTGGGGAGTCATTCTTATCTCAGCTAAAATAGCTGGAAGATGTTTTGACCAATTTACCCATGTTCCTGCAGTAGCTTTCATAAGCTTCTCCTTAAAGGACCACTATAGTGCCAGGAAACTATTCCTGGCACTATAGGGCCCTGAGGGTGCCCCCACCCTCAGGGTCCCACTCCCGCCTGGCTGGATGGCGAGGAAAGGGTTAAACCTTACTTTTTTTCCAGCACTGGGTGGGGAGCTCTCCGCCCCCTCTTCGGCTGAATGTGCATGTGCGGTAGGAGACGCGCGCACATTCAGCTAGTTCACAGGAAAGCATTTACAATGCTTCCCTATGGACGCTGGCGTCTTCTCACTGTGATTTTCACAGTGAGAAGCATGCAAGCGCCTCTAGCGGCTGTCAGTGAGACAGCCACTGTAGGCTGGATTAACCCTATTATAAACATAGCAGTTTCTCTGAAACTGCTATGTTTATTTAAAAAAAAAAGGGTTACTCCTAGAGGGACCTGGCACCCAGACCACTTCATTAAGCTGAAGTGGTCTGGGTGCCTAGAGTGGTCCTTTAACCCCTTAAGGACCAAACTTCTGGAATAAAAAGGAATCGTGACATGTCACACATGTCATGTGTCCTTAAGGGGTTAATGGTCCTATTCATCCTTTCAACTACCCCTGAACTCTGTGGATGATAGGGTATATGAAACTTCCAGGTAACTTGCAAGAATTTAGCAAGTTCCTTGGTAACCTTACTGGCAAAAGCCAGGCCATTATCAGAGTTAATTTCAGAGGGCAGCCATACCTGGGAATAATTTCAGTAGCAAGAATCTTCGCTACAGTCCTAGCATCTTCCCTAGATGTCGCAAAGGCCTCGGGCCATCTACTATGACCAGTAAGTATTGCTGTTTCTTACCAATTTTGGGTACATGAGTAAAATCAATCTGTAAGTGTGTAAAAGCTACAGCTGGAGGGTGTAAATGTTTGTGCTATGATTTGTGTGGAATATTAGGATGTGTTCTCATACATGGTTCACACGATCTTACAAAAGACTGTACATGCTGCCTGAGATTCCTAATATAAAATGAATTCATGAGGAATTGGATGGTGCTTGCTATGCTTTTGTGACCGGGACCATGTGCCTGACTGATGAAAATAAAGCAGTTGGCTTCAGGTATGCCTATTCTCCCCTCTTGAGAGAAAAGATCATTCTGATCTTTCTCTAAACCTTGTTTAATCCAAAAGTCAAAGTCAGATTGTGTTGCAGAGGCTTGGAGCTGCAAAAGCAAACTGTCAGTAGGGCATGTGGGAGGTGTGAGCATAGCAGGAAACATTTCATAGTAAAGAGTCTTGGTTGCAACTTCTTTTGCCACTTTGTCAGCCAAGCAGAGCCGGATTAAGAGCACAGTGGGCCTGGTGCTGACAATTATGATAGGGCCTATTTACGGAATCTTATCGACCAAAAACACTAAAACAATCATACCTCCCAAGCGTCATGTATCTGATGGAGATGGTGCTGGAGGGAAACTAATAGGATGCAGCTATAAGAAAACACATACTCTATGCTAATCTCTGTCTAATTTATGCTTTCATCTTTCAAGAAAATCCATAACCCCTAACAGCAGTGTCCAGTGAAGCAGGAAGTCAATGGGCAGGGTAAAAGGGTGTGCCACTGGCGCGAATCACATGACAAGACCTGTCAAAAGGGGTGAACATGCCCAAAAAGGCATGTTTGTCCAAAGAATTGGAAGGTCAGCCTGGCATGAATGCATGTCAGGCTGCCCGCCAATCCTGCAGGCTGTCCAACTAAGGGCATACTATGCAGGCAGCACCTTGAGCTTGACATAAATGCGTCTAATGATGCGCTCACTCCATTCTTTCTAAGGACTGTCCCCTAGCACTCACATGTCCACTTGTCTCCTTACCTTCTTACTAGCAGGCAGAAGTTCCTGTTATATAGTCTAAGACAGAGAAAAGGTGTATGTAGTGAGTGTAGAAGAAAGGGGACATGCCACAGTGTTAGAGAGACCAACGTCTGCATTACCTAAACTAACTTTAATGTCAGCCAGTGCACACAAGTTTTGTTCCCATACATCCCTCTTAAGCTTCCAAACTTAAAGGGACACTATAGTCACAAGAACAACTACAGCTTATTGTATTTGTTCTGGTAAGTAGAATCATTCCATTCAGGCTTTTTGCAGTAAACACTGTCTTTTCAGAGAAAATGACTCCACTGGCCGCTCCTTAGATGGCTGCTAGAGGTGCTTCCTGGGGCAGTACTGCCTAGTGTGCAGCACTGCCATTCAGTGTCTCCACCCTTTGCATGCAGACACTAAACTTTCCTC